CACTAACCGCCTCTCCCTCCCAGCTACAACCTCCTCGCCACCTACTCCATCGCAAGGAGAAGCCTGAACGCCAGCTTTGAATCCAGGGACGTGGCCCAGTTCCGGGGGTGAGTCCCGCCTTCTAGACCAGGCCCTTTTTATCTGCCTGGCCACTGGCTGCCCAGGGGTCAGTCAGCAGAGCGTGGACCCTGCTACTTGGGATCCTTTTGCTCTTCAGAACCTGCCTGTTAATAGGTGGTTGTTACTCACTATTGCCTAGTTGCCCATGTCCATATGTCAGCTCACACTTGCTGGCAGGAGAGGGACAGACACACGGAAGTTAGTGTGAATCTGGGCAGTTGTGACTGACCAGTGAGTGAGCGTCCATAGTGGCGACACAGCCGGACCCGCGGCTGCTGCTCTCTTGCTGTCCTGGCCCCCTTGTTCCTCAGCAGGGCCCGCTTCAGGGGAGAATCTGAAACGCCCCCGCCATCGCACTGCGTAGACAGCTCCGTATATTCAGGCTGAAATGTGGGCCAGCAGAACGCGAGCTGGGGCGGCAGGAGCTCGCTGCCTCATCCATCTGTCTGTCCATCCCCCACATGGGGCACCAGGCTACCAAGGCCGTACGGGGTCAGCGCCTCATTCGTGGGGCCAGAGCCTGCATTCCCTGGTGCTGGCTGTCATCCTCCTCCTCACATGGATGCCTTAGGGACTCTGCCTGGTCATTCAATAGGCGAGAGTGGGTTCCTGGGTAGCAGTGAGTGGGTCCCATATTTAATAATAAGCCAATAACTGATGCTGCCAGTGCTGGTGGTGTGAGGTCACCAGGAGTCAGGGACAAGGACACAGGGAACAGCTGGTACCACTGTGCTTTCAGACACTACTGGGCTGGGGAATCCCTTTCTGTGCACGTGTGTTAGATCCGTGTGTCTGCACACGTGTTAGCCAGTGTGCATGTGTGAATATGTGTGTCATGTGTGTATGTGCATGTTAATTAGCCGGTGTGCATGTGTATGCAGATGTGTGTTAGCCAGTGCATGAGTGTGCCTGTGTAAGCCCTGTGTGTGTGCACGTCTTAGCCCAGTGTGTGCATGTGAATTAGCCAGTGTGTGTGCGTGTATGTGCACATGTTAGCCCTGTGCGTGCACGTGTATTAGCCAGTATGCATGTGTGAGCATGTGTTGGCCCTATGTGCGTGTGAGTTGGCCAGTGTGCACGTGTGTGTTAGCCAGTGCATGAGTGTGCATGTGTTAGCCTTGTGTGTGCATGCACATGCGTTAGCCCTGTGTGTGTGCACATGTATTAGCCCTGTGTGGGGAACATCGGCTGGTCTCTGATTACATGTTTATTTTCCCTGTCTATTCTCCTTTATTTACAGATGTCCGGAAAACCTGCTCCCCAGTATTTTTATTGTGGCCATTACAATTCTTTATGCCCTTTTGGTCACTAAAAGCAAACGTATGGATCGTCGTGAGAAAAAGAAAACGGGTTACATTTTCCTGCAAGACAGTGCCCCGCTCAGTCACCAGCTGTATGCGGTTGTTGTGGACACGGGCTTCCGGGCTCCAGCCCGCTTCACCGCAAAGGTGCCTGGGCATCCGGGAGACATGTGTGGGTGTGGACGGTGTGTGCGCAGGTGTGGGTGCATGGCTTGGCGATGTGGCCATGTGTCTGTCTATCCTGTCCTGGAAACTCCAGGGAGAACAACAGGACAAGAACAAAACAAGAATCTAAGGTTTGGAAGGAGAGAACATTAGTTCCTGGCAGGCGATCTGATGTCTGCATAGAAAATGTAAGAGGGTCTTCAGCCAAATAATGAGAATCAATATGAAAGTTTAACAGAATCGCTGGATTCCATGGTTCCGTAAATGTAGAGTAAGGCGAGCCCCCTCCAGGGTCCTGGTGGAACAGGCAGCGCACTCAGAGCCGGGCAGCAGGCCGCATCTCTCCTCCTGCAGGAGGCACCTGGGCCGGGAGCCGCACCTGGCCCGCCCTCACTCCTGACTGGAGCGCAGGCACACAGTCTGCGCCATTGGCTGGTTCAAAGGGAGGGGTTGGCCTTTGCCATTTCAAGATGGCGGCCCCCAGGGAGCCGCAAGCCCTGCGGCCAACATGGTGACTGCCAAGTCACACAGCCAGCATGGCGGCTGCCTAAACTGTTCTCTGACAGAAAAGATGACTTGTTTATTCTCACAGTAAAAACCCTCAAAGGCATCTTCATGCAACAACAAGGATCACATAGGACACATAACTGAGACCACATGTTCCCCATCATGACCATACCGGGCATCCACAAGACCATCATGAGAAAACTGGCACAATATGCATAAAATATCCTATATAATAAAAGACTAATATGCAAATTGACCAAATGGCGAATGACCAGTCGCTATGATGTGCACTGACCACCAGGGGGCAGATGCTCAAAGCAGGAGCTGCCCCCTGGTGGTCAGTGCACTCCCACAGCGGGAGTGCTGCTCAGCCAGAGGCCAGCTCACAGCTGCGAGTGCAGCGGTGGTGGTGGGAGCCTCGCCTGCCTCCACAGCAGCTCTAAGGAGCAGTGAGCTGGGCAGTAAGGAGCGAGCGGTCTCGGACTGCAAGACTGTGCAGACCAGGCTGAAGGACCCTCCCCCGCCAGTGCATGAATTTTGTGCACCAGGCTTCTAGTCTATATAATAAGAGCCTAAGAGACCGTTAAGGCAGAACGACCAGAATGACTGGTCGCTATGATGCACACTGACCACCAGGGAGCAGACGCTCAGCCAGAAGCCAGGATCACAGCTGGCGAACGCAGCAGTGGTGGGTAGGAGCCTCTCTTGCCTCCGTGGCAGCGCTAAGGAGCAGTGAGCAGGCGGGCGGCAAGGAGTGAGGGCTCCAGGCTGCGAGAGGGCGCAGGCCGGGCTGAGGGGATCTTCCCACCACAAGTGCACGAATATTGTGCACTGGGCCTCTAGTGTAAATATACAGTAATATTCATTCATGGATGGGAAAACCAGTTTTTCTTGTCATTTCTCCCACATTAACCTTTAACATTAATAGTAATAACATTAATAGTAATAACACCAGCTAACAGGAATTAGGACTTTACTATGTTGGGTTTTTTTTTTACTCCCCCCAAACCTCAAAACACTTTGGAAAGAGTTCTATTAATAGACCCATTTTACAGGTGAAAACCAGGCACAAAGAGGTTAAAGTCAATGAAGTCCAACCAAAATTTCAGGAAGGGTTTTGTGGAGCTTGAAAAACAGATTCTAACATTTACCTGGAAGAAAACACAAGAAATCAGAGACAGAGGGTGGTGTCACCAGCAGAGGGAGCAGGCAGACTCCGAGGGGCACCAGGCAGCTGGAGTGGGACGGGCTAGGACAGTGTCTCATGTCAGGAGACGGACAGACAGGTGCATGGGACAGACTGCAGACGAGGCATGTCGGGGCCGTGTAGCCCAGAGCAGAGCAGGAGTCACGCAGTGAGGTGCTCAGGGATGGTGGCTTCCGTGTGGAAAAGCAACATGAAACCTTCATGTCACGCAATGCCCAGAAACGCGCTCCTGAAGGCTAGAGACTTAAAGGTGAAAACACTTAGAAGTCACTCCAAGGCAACGGGAAAGGATGTAAAAGAGCAGAAACAAGTAAGGGTTTTTCCTCAGTGAAGGCGGGTAGATGGCCCTGCATCAGAATTGTACGTTTCTTACCACAAAAGCCTCCCAGCAAGGAGCAGCGAGGCCAGCTGCTGAGGACACGCACCCTGTGTCTATGGTGCCCCTCACCCACCCGGTGCCCTGAGTGCAGGGAGGAGGGCGGGCCACACGTGAGCTAGCCATGTGCCCAGTGACCCGAGGGGCATCTGGCCTTTCCTACCCCCTCCCCCCCGTCAGGGACTGTCCTGGGACAGGTCGCGGGGTCTACACAGGGCGCTGGCTTCCTGGGTGGGGGTCTGGGGGGAGGGCTGGGAGGAGGGTGCAGGGAGGCCCTGCCCAGCACTGGTTAGGGTCACGGGTTCGGTAATTGAACTCTGACCCCGTGTCTGTGTTTGGAGGTCTACATCGTTTTATGTGGTGAAGATGGACTTTCAGAGCCCAGAGAGCTCTGCTGCCCAGAGAAGCTGCTGTTTGAACGGAACTCCAGACACACCTTCGTCCTCAGGTATGGGACTTGCCCGCAGAGCCCGGGCAGCAGCCGTGAGGCCTGGTGTGGCCATCAGGCCGGCTCTCCAGCGGGACCGGTGGCTCCATGGGGACAGGCTCAGTGTGTTCACAGTGTATCTGAGGTTGACTGATAGCACGCCCATGTGAGGGACGGACGGAAGGACGGAGGCTGATTGGCTTACATGCTGGTACCTGCATAACCATGCGTTTTCTGTCACTAAACCCGTGTGAAGGAGTTAGTTTCACCCCAAACGAGGGTGACGAGGGCAGGAGGCATGCAGAGCCGGGTGGGTAAAGGGTTTACCAGGAGGACAGCCTGGGGCGGGCAGGAGGTGGGAGCTGCTCTTCCCTGGACGTTCACGTTCACAGGCTATGTCCCCGCTGACATAGGTCAGCTGTGGCGCTCCATGTGGACAGACCCGTGAGGTTAGAGAGACTGGATTTGGGGGAGCTCCACGGGGTCCCTGCCCCATGCGGCCTGTTCCTGGGGGGCCTCCTGGGTCACTGCTTATAGACGGGTCCTTCCCACCCGAGGGTGAAAAGCAGCCGCACCCCCGGCTGACGCCATGCTGTGCCCGCAGCACT